TCCAATCAGTGCACAATTAAGAGAACATGAAAGGTTTGCTATTCTAGTAAAACTAGGTGTATGCGCATTTAGATAAAATCGACAATAAAACTTTTGTATGACAAAGAATACATAGCTATTAACGCGTTACCTACAGCAACACATTCATGCCTGTTACATACATTTCAACAAAAACATTATACCCTGATTTCCCATTGAAAATGGGTTCAGGCTATAAAAATTGTAAACAAGTAAGAAGGCTCCAGTCGAGACTGCTCGACTAGGAGATACCCTGAACCCTCTAGGCTGATATTCTAATCATTCTGCACTTCTTTTATGCTCACATACATACACATGCATCCACACGCACGCATAAGCCTACGCTCTGCTAACTGCGCAGTAAGCAGCGGCTGCGTTTGGGCAGCGCTGCAATGTGGGCAATATTATGAGAATTTATTTGTAGAATAATTTCTCTTGTAGACACACAATCTTAATGAAACTTTCAAAGCATAATCATATGGCTAAAATGTGTGTACATTCCAAAGCACAAGTCTCTAGTACTTGAAATGCGTTTTTTACAAATTGGGGGCGAAGGGGGCGTGGTATCCAAAATCTGTAAATTACAAAATCTTTGTATCCACTAACTTTATATACAACGCAAATTTGAAGACTCCAGGTCTGAAAGTGAAAATTGGACTGAAAAAAAACAAAATCAATTTTTCGATTATTCTCGATAAAAAAGTTGTCGGGTGAGTTATCGAAAAAATAAAGCAAACTCGTACTGCGCATGGAATACACGAGTATGCAAGCTCTCTAGCTCTTATAACTTCTGAGATCGACGCAGTCATATGGACGGACGAACGGACAGGCCCATATCGACTCAGCTCGTCGTGATGATCAAGAATATATATACTTTATGGGGTCTGCGATGATTCCTTCTGCCCGTTACATACTTTTTCACAAAACCATTATACCCTGATTTCCCGTTTTCAATGGGTTCAGGGTATAAAAAATGGTGTGGGTCATTAGGATGTAATCAAGTTTACCAAATTCAATGTATACATACAAGGGTTATTGAAACTCAAAAAATACAAATGTCTGCAATCAAAGTTGCCACTGGATTGAGAGACATTAAATTTTGCGCAATACTATACTGCCCACCAAGGAACAGAATAGAAGAAAGGCAATTCAGCGACATACTCGCTTCTTGCGGCCAAAGCCACAGCAAGAGGCGCTAATATTCTTGCAACAGGATCTCCTACTAGGTACCCATATATGTATATCCAGTCACACTCCCTCTTGCATTTATTTTGCATTATACCAGCATATACAGCATTATTAAGCAAATATTTACCAAAGCTGGGACTTAGATTCTGACCATCTAGCCCTTATTGCCGAGTTGCACATCGATGGTGATCATATCGGGCCCAAGGCTAATAACCAACCGTACTGACATCGTGGCTTTCAGACAACAGCTACATGACCCCATTCAATAAAATTCGTGTGTGAACTCCGGAGAAGACATCGAGGATGCAGTTGATATTCTCCTGGAGAACATATATAGAGCTGCTGCTGCTACAACGCCGCTTAAGCCTGCGCTTCGTCCCAATAATTATGGCATTGTCCTAACGAGAGAAGCCAAAGAACTCATCAGAACAAAAAGGTGCCTTCGTAGAAGACCAATTCGATCCCCAGATCCTTGTGACCGACCTTTGTGGAACCGGGTAGCAAGACAGCTACGTAACCTTTTAAGGGAATTAAAAGTTAATTTTTCGAGCAAAAACTGGATTTCATGAACTACACTATGGATGCAAACTATTCGCTATGGAAATGCATAAAATCACTTAAACGACAATCTTTTAGACAGGTACCTGTCCGATGCCCTAGCGGCGAAATTGCTAAATGCGAATTGGAACAGGCTAACGCATTCGGATGCCATCTAGAAGAACGTTTTACTTCATATAGTTATGCTACGACGGAGCATACCATGGAGATACAGCTAAATTTGCAAACCCCATTGCAGATGTCTCTGCCTATTGAGCCTATAAGGATCGAAGAAATAACTGAAGCGATCCAAATATTGCCGAAAAATAATGCTTCCGGATTAGACAAGATTTGCTACGCAACGCTGAAGGCCTTACCTACAAGAGCGCTACTTTACATTGCCCTAATTTTCAATGCCATCATCAGGCTCCAAGTGTTCCCAAGGCAATGGAAAGTAGCTGCTCTCTTGATGATCCATAAGCCTGGCAAACCGGAAGAGGATCCAGAGTCATATCGGCCTATAAGCCTACTGCCCTCCCTGTCTAAACTATGCGAGAGAACCATTGCCAACCGCATTAACGCAATATTTCGATAATCCAATATCCTTCCGGATCACCAATGTGGATTTCGGGAGGGACACAGCACAGTGGAACAAGTCCACAGACTCGTGAAACACATCTTGCAGGCTTTTTATGACTCTGAATACCTCAACGCTGTTTTCATTGACATGCAGCAAGCGTTTGATAAGGTGAGGCACGATGGATTACTGTGCAAAATAAAAACCTTCTACCTGCTCCGTACTATGACCTCTTAAGATCTTATCTAGAAGACCGTGTGTTCCAAGTCAAGGTAAAAGACGCACTCTCGTCCACATATCCTATGAGAGCAGGAGTGCCGCAGGGCAGTGTTCTAAAAAGGCTGGCAATGCATACCCCCCCAATCCAGATGTCGGTAGTAACCCTACAGCAACCTGCACAGGTGAAATATCTTGGCATCACACTGGACAAGCGTCGCACCTTTGGGCCACACCTCAAAGCTACGGTGAAAAAATGTCGTCAGAAACTGCAACAACTAAGAGGGCTCAACAATAAAAAGAGCACTTTACCGCTGAGATGCAAAAGAGCTCTATGGAGTGCACATCTGAGGGATCGCTGCAAAATCAAATTATAAAAGAGGGCCGGTTTTGCAGAACAGTGTTACGGCAGATAACAAACTGTCCCTGGTACATACGCGGCTCAACACTGCATAGGGACCTGAAGCTGACTACTGTCGAAGAACAGATAAATAAAGACACAAGCAGATTATCAGATAGATTACTACGACATCAAAAGCCTACTCACAAGAGGCCTAACACCTGCCAGACCCCTAAGATGACTTAAACGGCAGGGCTTTGCCAAAACAATGGGTATACACTAAATATTATTATTATTATTATTATTTTTTTTTTTTCTCAGTCTTCACAAATTGTGTGAGGTTTGGCCCTAATTTTATGTAGTTTATAAATGTGTTGTTAAAGTACTATATAGCATCACAAGTAAAGCAAAATCTATTTTATATTCCATTATATTATTCGAGATGTTTTAGATTTGATATTAATTCCACCCCGTTATATTGCATGTAAATAATGCAATATAAGTATGTTTTAAGTTACATATATTTGTTCACACATACTATGCATATAGAGGTACATGACAGTGGCTTCATGTAAACAATATGTACCCATATTTGTATGAATATCTAATGTACATTAGGAATATACTTACACCACCATTCCATATGCGCCTTCTCCAATATATGTTAGTTTCCTATACCTTGGACCAACTTCAAAAATTTGCCCCCTGATGACTTCGGCGTTGGGATGTGGGGCAGCCAAAGCAGCGGCACCCTCAGCAGTAGTTCCAGCATTTCCCTCCGCCATCTTATATACAAAATTCTTGGTCTGAAATTCACCACATACATATATCAATATATAAGTAATGGCATCGTCTTATACGTATTTTAAAATATTTGTTTCAATTTATTTGACAATTACATTAATTTACATGAACTTCTTATAATGCAAAATGTATCTACTATTTGGGCAACACCCAATGATTTTACATCTGTTTGATAAATCCTAGTATAGACTTCCACACGCAAATACACTTTACACAATAATAATCATTAATTTACACAAATAACTGTTAACTTTTTATGCATATAATTTATGAGGAAATTTCTTAATCATTCATCTATCCGATTGCGATACATTTATTGAACATACATATATTTAATAGCGTTAAATTCACTTTTCTGAACAAGTTCGATAACATCACACACTTTAATGAGCCTATAAACAATTTTCTGTACTATCGTTATTGGTTTTAAATACTATTGTCAGACTGGTTATCTATCGTGTGATTTTCGCTTCAATTTCTAAAATTAAAAAAAAAAATTATCGTTCATTTATTTTTCTAGTTTATTTTACAACCCATTATCTTATCTAAAATTTAAGAATATATTGAAATTAATAAAAATAAGTCAATAAAAATGTACAACAATTTTCTTGAATGAATTGTTAGTCTCTGGTCAATGCGAAAAAAACACATTTTTAAATTTTGCTTAAATATTATGAATAAACATTAATTTATTTTAAATGGGGCTGTCTAACGAATTTGCTACACGAACATGTTCGCTGAGCTTGCCTATTAACTATGCGAAAATTTTCACAAACATGTTCGCAAACATAATTTTAAAACAAAGTTTTGGATTGTGAACATGCAAGCGAAAGAGAACAAAATGGTAGCCTTAATGGTTACAATCGTAAACTATCATTATTTTTCAGTTCTTTGTTGACCCATCGCATTGTTTTGGTTATATGACGTGTTTTCAATGGAAATTTAAGAAAACGACGGTAAAATGGGTAGAAGTGTAGAAAGTTCGGGGCAAATACGGAAATTAATTATTAAACTGTATTTAGATTGTATTACGAAGCGCGTAGAGAACTTACTTTCGTTTTGAGCGAGCATTCGAATCCATTGTCCACTGTCGTAAGACAGAACCATTTCTACGCTGTCGGCGAACAAAAAGTTCATAAGAACACTGCTATCCATATTCTAACATTTGACGAACAAAAGTTCGTGTAACAAATTCAACTGTGGGTACCCCACTCTACGATATCTTGACTGAGAAATGTATGCCAAATATTAAAAAACATACTACCACAACTCTTTAGTATTTTTTAATTTTCACCAGTTTAATACCAAAAGCACATAAATACAACTAGTGTTCATGTTGTACGGCTGGTGTGAGAGATTCGAGTAACAAAAAATTTCTGCTCGCCTATTTGTGTTTAGCTTATATATATCTAGAGAAATCAAATGGAATACTCAAATATGTTGCGTTCAATGGATTCTGAACATTTATAAACTGAAGTGCTTAAGGTCATAAAGAAATTGTTTCAAATAATAAAACATACAACAGACGTCGTCATTCTGGGTATTTTCGACGCCATATTTATATATGCGTATTCCTGAATACGAAGGTCATTGCAAACACTTTCGTACATAAAACTCGTTATACATTGATAATATATTAAAGTGTTTACTATATATACATATACATATACATATATTAACATATGCTTATGCGGAAAAAGCTGATGCATGAATCTACACATACATAGTTAAAAGGAAAACACAAATAAATCCATATGTGTGTACTTCAATACAAAGTTATACAACAAAAAGTAATTAAATAATCAAATACAAATATATAATAAAAGAAAAGAAAAAGAAAAAGCGATATAGTATTCTGCGGCACCGAATAGTGCCAGAGATAAAAAATTTAATTGAAAATTGGTTAACTGTAATGTTAATGAAACAGTGCAGACTTCAGCATATTTACAAAGTCGAGAAAAAAGTGGCAGTTAAAAAGAGAATCGCAGTCCATCCGGATACCATGTTCAGAAATTGTACAATTTGTCAAACATTTACATTCTGGGCAATGAACGCATCAAGAGCAAACCAACCGAGAAATAACAAGACGCCGATAGATTCAAAAAGACCGCAAAGCGCATAAGGATCTCCCGTAGAATCAGTTTTGATTATTGGTCAGATTTGGATAAGTTACAATTATCGAATCAAATAAAGCCTCCCTCTAGATAGGCAACACACCTTACACGAAATTGCTCTTAAAGAGACAACCTCGACGGGGAACTGCTTCTGGGATCTGGTGGAAGAAAGATGAAGCTATTAGAGAGCTCCCGATTCGAAGCAATAAATAATGCGCTTTCGATACAAACTGGCGGAATCACAATTTTCGGACGAATAGAAAGCTACTCCTGGTATGAAATCTCAGTTAAATTTATTTTGAGCACTTAATATGTATAAGCAAAGAGAAGTTGTAAAGAACGTTGAACGTTGAAAATATTTCCATTCACCGATTCATATCATGTAAATTCATATATAATAATAACAATACAAGGTTTTTTATGACTTATATGAAATATGTATGTGTATTTTTTATTTCAAGCAAAATGGTTGCAGCTGAGAAGGTATTATACAAACGATTTACAGCTGAGACGCACGGGCATGATTTGCAAGCGCTGTCGCCTCCGCAAACTTTGTCGGATCTTTCACCAAACTTTCATCGCAATAACAGTCAATCGGGTGATGAAGGCGTAATCTTATGTGACACAATCTCCCGAAAAACTTTATTTTACTTGATTGCAACTTTAAATGCGTCCTTTGAGCCTGATTATGATTTTTCAGATGCAAAGGTAAGGACAAAATACCTGTATACAAAATAAAACATGAACCCTAAGTTAACTCGCTTTATTTTTTTAGTCTCATGAATTTAGTAAGGAACCTTCCTTGCCATGGGTTATGAATTCGGTTCATTCAAATTTATCAGCTTTAGCTGGGGACCAGTACCAGGTTTTGCGCCAACCGTTGTGGTCAGCCGTAGATGATGAGATTAATTTATCGGAATGCGATATATATAGCTATAATCCGGACTTAAGCTCAGATCCGTTTGGAGAACCTGGTTGTTTATGGTCTTTCAATTATTTCTTCTACAACAAGAAGTTGAAGCGCATTGTATTCTTTACTAGTCGCGCCGTAAAGTATGATCTACACTGAATAAAAAAAAAAAAAAAACTTTATATATATTGTTAAACTTTCAGTTCCCTCTATGCTGGAGAAACATCCGATTTTTCTATGGAAGAAGATCTATACTAACGAGTTCTTAGTCTTCGATTTTATTTTCACAATGATCATTTTGGCATATAAGTACGAGAAGGGAAATGGATGGAATTGTGTACTTCAGTGTCAGACACGCTATGGATGCAAACTGATCTTTATACGCATCACGAACATGATTATATCTAAGAACAGTAATATTTAATCAAGTACTTTATTCAAAACAATAATAATATGCGTTCTTTGGAAATAAACCTAAGTTTCTATACATTTATCGTTTTGTAAATTCTGAACTCTACCATCATATATTTCAATAATTCTTCGCGCCTTTCTGCTTACACAAGAAACACACCCACATGGACACGCACGTATAAACACGCATGGGCTGTAGTGCGAGTTTACTATGGGAACTTGTCAATAACTTTTCTTGCTTGTTAATAACTATTCAGAATCTGAATTTCAGATCGTGATCATAACATGGAAATGTATGCATTTGCCAAACCATGCCTCATGTATTTGATATGCACCTTTTACAAGTTCAAGGGTGGTTATAGAGGTGGGGACAAATTACAGTAAAAATCGAAATTTTATAAAATTAATATGAATTAAAATTTAAAATTTGGCGACTTTAGATCTAAAGATATATAATTATACTCATTCACAAAAGTGAAATGAGTATATTGGTTTTGTGCTCTTAAACTGTAGGAGATATATCTACCTTAGCTCGCTGGACTTGGGTGGTCAACTCGTGTATATGTACCAAATTTCAGATCTCTAGCATCAATAGTGTCCAAAATATAGCCGAATTCGAAAAATCACTATAGCTTCAGGTCAGATTTGCCACGCAATTCAGCATTCATGATTTCTGGTATATCGGAAAGTGCATTTTCCGATTTGCCACGCCCCTAGTGGGCATATCAGGAAAATTTTAACACTATAAATCGGAGATATACACGAGTATGTGTTCCAAATTTCAAGTCTCTAGCTTCAATAGCGCCTAAATAGATTGCGTTCATACGGACAGCAAGACGGACATTGCACAAAACCAATATACTCATTTCACTTTCGTGAATGAGTCTAAAAACCCGAAATTTTGGTATAAATACAATTTTTTTGTGTTAATTTTTAAACTTTTTTTTTTTTTTTTTTTTTTTGTTATCCAATAAATAGGAAAAAGCTGGGATCGTCGTGAACAAAATTCAATTTTTGCGCGCTGCTGAGTTCGGTGAGTAGGACAAATAGCGCATAGCCGTGCTTCATATAAGAATGGGACCATTTCGTTTGAGCGCTTGCAGCGCACTGACTTTGTCGAGCAATATTTTCACTGCTCGAGCCTCAAAAGACTGAGCCGAGTAAATACGAAATTGTATCTAATGCACATTTTTTCGGTGTTGAAAAAGTTTGTTCTACATGTCTCATCTATGTGTTCTTTGATCAGTGCTCATACGGACGGATAGATGGACAGGGCTATATCAACTCAGCTCAACATCCTAATCAAGATATAGGTATATACTTTGTGGGGTCTGCGATGACTCCTTCTGCCTGTTTCATATTTTTCGCAAAACCATTATATCCTGATTTCCCTTTTTCAATTTGCTGATGTAACAAAGGTGCTCGGTTCCTTTGGGGATAAATCATTATCAGAATATTGATTTAATGACGATTCAAGTAGAGTTGGTAAAATAGCAAAATCAATACAGCAGCGTTTGAAGCTGATTTCTTGCGTTTCGTCTTCATTTCCGTCTTCGTAACGGTGCGGACTATGCATGCCGGCGAGCGAATTCATATGTTTTGTTCTGCACTGTTTTTCGTCTTCAGCTTCGCCTTCGTCTCCGCGTGCACTATGCTTGCAGCCTTAAATTATAATATTATTAAAATGCGTGCATTTTCACAAGTCTCTAGTATTTTTTTCAATTTCAATTTATTTCACTCTTTGTTATAACTACATGATTTCGTGAATGGTATTTTACAATATTTTAAGAATTAAGGCTAATACATAGTCCTTTTCTGCTAAGTTATTTATTTACATACATGACATATGGATATGCGATAACATTATTATTTGGGGAAAAAACAAAAAAATAGAAAAACCCATGCAAATTTACTACAAACTAAATTAAATTAAATTTAACACTAAAGTCTACATTTAAAATTTGGAGACTAGCTCAAGGGTGCAACTTATTTTCGATAAGGTTTTTAATCGATTAAAAATAACGGGATGAGTATCGATTTTTGGAGATAAGCTCGCTGGCTGTAGTGATGTAAATTTGAATGAAAACATCGATATCGATGTCCATGAATTTTTTCAAAAACAAGCATCGATGTTGGATTAATACATCGGATTGAAAATTCGATGCATCGATGTATTTTTTATTTATTTTTGTTACTTATTTACTGGTGCTCTCATGACGTTTTTATTATTTAAAAAAAAAAAAAAACTTAAAGGTATTCAACACTAGTTGTCCCGGCGAACTTCGTACCGCCTAACAGTCTCTATATATATAAAACAAAGTCGAGTTTGTTACAAAACTTATAATTCGAGATCTACTGCACCAATTATCATGGTTTTTGATTTGTTGGATTTGTCTCCGACCCGAATAGCAGTACGTATTTTAAAAATACTGAAAAATTTGGGAATACTTGAACGTTATTTTCCCTAAAAGTTCTTTAATTTCGGAGCTGTCAAATTTTTGTATTAAAATCAGTAAGTAATGTCGTGTTACCTATTAGCTGAACTAATTTAGGCTTCTATGAACGTAATACAATAATACCAAAAAATATTAATATAGATAATTGTTAGAATTTTCACGAATCATCAAACAATATGCGTAATAATTCATCGAACTAACCTTCTTGGTAGTTTGCCCACCTGAAACAAATACAGTAAAAATTTTATTTTAGAACCCCTAATAAGCTACTCCCTACTAAATTAAGAGTGACAACCTTTTTTGTGTACCAAAAGCAAACAGAATAAAATGTATATCAAGTTAAAATGAAAACAATGATATTGATCTTACCATTCAATGGATTAATCATTTTGATATATCGTCTCCTTGCCACAACATCAGCGGGTATTGTAACGCGTCATATGAACGGTGCGTTTCATATATTCTTTGTAGTTGCCCAGTATTGCGTCGTGTAAGCACAATATCACGTGCTTCCAAGTTTTCAGCAACAATTAGGATTGCTACTTCATCGATTGTTGGATTATATCCGTGTTCTTCAAAAATTTTCGCCCCACTTGAAGTCATTTGGAAACAGGCATTGTATTTTTGAGTGCTCGCTAGAAAAGTAGGGAACGCAATGGCTCTGGTGGCGGGACCACTAATGGTAATGTCACTTTATAACAAAGGCAGGGGCATTTCACCAGCAAATTTTATTGCGCCACAATGCTGGTAAACAACGTCCATTGGACCAATGCCAACTTAACGATGCAAGCTGTAGTCAATGGTGCAATTATATCGAAGCGCTGCTCGATTCAAATCAATCCTTGAACCATTTCTTAATGCCGTTTCACGGGCTGCCTCTCTTTGAGAAGCACGAATTAAGGCCCTTCTTTGCTGGGTACTAACGCGGCGCTCTTCTCGGGCGATTTCTCGCTCTTCGTCAGATAATTGACTCGCGATATTCCGTTGCCTAATTGCATTATGGGTCCGCCGGGAAAGATTAGGTCTTCTAGGACGTGGCATTTTTATTAATAGTAATACTGAATATGCCCTCGCACAAAACCATATAAAACAATCGAGAAATATAAATATAAATAATTTACACAAATTTATTTTATAAATACTATTGTATAATATGAGAGCAGGACCGAAAACTGTCACTGTTATCAAGCCTACTGAGTATCAATGGAAATTTGAATCTTTAGGGAAAAAAACGCGTTTTTCAAGTATTCGTAAAATTTTTTCAGTATTTTTAAGATCTACTATCCTACTCGTGGCGGAGACAAATCCAACAAATCAAAAACCATGAAAATTGGTCCAGCAGATCTCGAGTTATAAGTGGAGGAGCACTTTTACACAACTCTCTTTTATATATATAGATTATTTAACAAAAATAAAATTGAGCTTTCATAGCAGTATTTTGCTTAAGGTCTAACTTTCAAATTTTGACTATAGGAGAGACATCTTTTGCAACTCATTTGATAACATGTAGTACAAAAATTTTTGTGTTAACTAAATATGCTTTAATTAATAGGCTGCAGGCAAATTTTCAAATGGTGTAAAATGCTGATTCGTTTTCTTGTATATGTATATATTTTGCGAGTAAACAAAAATAGTATCGTTCCAATACTAGAGTTATTCTATTCAAAGAACATTAAGTATTGAACAGCAATATAAGAATATTCATCCAATTCAGTGGGGAAATTCTTGAGACTCTACATAGTTTAGGTGAGATGTGTGCTTATAAGTATTTTGGAGGAAATAAAAAATGTAGGGACTTCGCCACTTTTGCAATGGCATTGCTTTCCTTGCCATGGTCGATCGCGCAACTGGCAAGAAGTTTTAGTCAGGTCAATATTGTAAAAATATGACTACGCAATAAAATGATTATTGATGTGCTTACTCAATTTTAAGCGTCAGGTAAAACCTATATAGTGTAAAACTCTACAGATACGGCTTGCCACGGTTGAAGAAATGCAGCCATGACTTCTAGTTACTAAAAATATATTTAAATATCAATCAAATGAAAGCAAAAACCATCAGCTTTTTTGTCCGATTTTTTTCACAAAATTTCTGCTTTTTTTTAAGTATCTTCCCACTAAAAACAGCTTTTTTTGCTGAACAAAAGTTGGCAACACTGATATATACGGACATTACAAATTCAATTCAATTCAAGTCTTTAGCTCTTATATCTTCTGAGATCGACGCGTTCAAACCACTAACCATAGAATTAATAGACTAAACAAGTAGTGTAAAGCGTTTTGCACACTTTTTTTCGGGACCCAGTGGCGACGACCTGAATGAGGTCTGTTGAAATAATGCATTACATACGACAAAAAAGTAATGCATTACCTATGAACATTTTTTTCAGCGCATTTGTAATGTACAAAATAAAAAGTGCTACTCATACGACAGAATCGAGCTCTTGTCAACTTCGTTTCTGTATGCCCCTTCCCCGCTAACCAACAAACGATTTTCGTCTTTCGTTGCGTCGCGACGAAATCGCCGAGTTTCGTTTTGGACTTTACCGTTTTTTGCATGGAATGCGTGCCTTCTTTCGTTTGGTTTCTTTGTCTATGCCAATTTCTTTTGTGTGTATAGTGTTAATGAGTGTAAATACAAGTTCAAAAATGCATATGTGTGATGATTTCTGTTTTCGTTTTACCCGCCGCGGCGCGTCACTTTTCTGCTATTGTTGAGCCGTGCGGACGTAAATTTAAAGGGAAGTATCTGGTATGTATACATCATCTTACATGTATTTTTAATGACAAAAAAATTAATATTGTTTAATTTACAGATGCTATAAAAACCGAAGGGTCCACTAAGAAGACCTATATAAGTACAATAAGAAACTGCTTTCGGGTCCAGAAAGGTCGACTGGCAAAGCAGAAGTTCGATAATAAGGACAAACTAGATAATAAGACATAGCTTTAGATTTTGATGTAGATAGATATAATAAAATAGTAATAAGACATAGTTTAAGACTATACATTTATTTATAGATATTAAGAAATAATAAATAATAATATTTAAAAATTAAAACAAAAAATACTACATTACTCAAGCGTTTCTATCTTTCAATTAGTAATCAATTATTTCTCCAATTACATTGCATTAAGAAGTAAGCCATTTTATATAGTGGGAAAATGGGTTGCAGGTATATTGTGTTGTAATGTACGCACATTACTAACCCATAAGCGATTTTGAAAATGTATAAGGCGTTTTCTTCAGGTTGCGGAATTTCTACATACATTACAATATGTAAAAAGTATACGCATGGGTAATGGAGAGCCGAAGGAAACTTCGTCACCTCATTACTTTCTGCATTACAAAATTCAATAATTTCATGCACCCGGGAGAAAAAGCGGCCATTCCTTAAAAAAGTAAGGCAGCTTGTAATCGATCTTTTCATGCACACAGGCGGCAAGTAATCCATGAGTAATGGACAAAATAATGGGCATTTCCGCCACTGGGGAGTTACATATTTGAGAGAGCATCAAGAGAAAGAGACAGAGAGAGCATCAGTGTTGCCAATTTTTGTTGAGCAAAAAAAGCTGTTTTTAGTGGGAAGATACTTTAAAAAAAGCCGAAATTTTGTGAAAAAATCGGAAAAAAGCTGATTTGTTTTTTATTTGATTTGATTGATATTTAAATATATTTTCAACAACTTATAATCATGGCATCATTTTTTCAACCACCGCAAGCCGTATCTGTGAAGTTTTATAATATATATGTTTTACCAGATGCTTGAAATTGAGTTAAGCATCACAGTATTGATCTGACGAAAAATGTTATCAAAGAAAACAATGCAAAAGTGGCCAAGTTCCTAAATTTCTTATATCCTATGAAACCCTTAGAACACGCTTCTAAACTCAAAACTCTGTAGCGTCTTGAGTAGTTTCCTACTGAATGGGTGGATGTTCTTATATTGGGGTTCAATACTAACAATGTTCTCCAAAAATATATATGTATGAAAAGGAATCAACATTTTTCACTATTTGAAAATTTGTCGGCAACCTTAAACACATAAATTCTTGTACTACACGCTATCAAAAGAGTTGCATACATTTTTTAATGAATAAAATATGGAATAGATAGAAAATATGGCAATTAATGATGTTTTATTTCACTCGTCGTTTTACTGATATATGTATGTATGCATAAAACAATTTATATGGGTTTTGAAATTTAAAAATTACAAATGAAAAACAAGTAAGAACGTTGCAGTCGGGCGTTACCGACTGCGGAATACTCATTCACATCTCATCAGCACTTTAGTAGCTAAGTTTCGCTCTAATACTGTAGAAAATGCCGTTTTCCCCGATTTGCCACGCCCCTACTGGGCGTAGACACCTCATTTTTGGTCAGTTATTAGAACAAGATAACGGTACCCTAACTGCAAAGTTTGAATGCTTAACCTCAAAAAATGTGAAAATTACAGGGTATTTCTCGATATGCCACGCCCCTAAAGAGGCGTAAAAATTATTTTTAAGTCATTGATAGAGGTTACTGGTAACCTAACTATCTAAATTTGAAGCTTCTAGCTATTGTACTTTGGGAGATATAAACTTTTGCGGTTTGCCACGCTCCCTGTGGGCGGACATATATCCGACAAAGCTTTTTTGGCTGATCGGCCCGAGTATATGTACAAAATTTGAGGTCTCTGGCATCAATAGTGTCCAAAATATAGAAAAATTTTTAAAATCCCTATATTTTCAGGTCCAATTTGCTACGCCACTAATGGGCGTAGACTTATAATTTTATCTTTAGACTTTATAGAATCATAACATTAGCTGACGTGCATTTCAGGGCTCTAGCTGTAAAACATTTGGAGATACAGTTTTATCCGATTTGCCACGCCCCCAATGGGCGGAGATATATCCGCCATAGCTCGTGATCTAGGGTGGTCGACGCGGACCTACATACCAAATTTCCGCTTTCTAGCTCTTCAACAAACATGATTTCTGGTATATCGGAAAATGCATTTTCCGATTTCAAGTCTCTAGCTTCATACGGACAGACGGACAGCAAGACGGACATTGCACAAAACCAATATACTCATTTCACTTTCGTGAATGAGTCTAATAATGTGTTATATCATAGTGTTATTCTGCTGGTGTTAAAATCCGAATGGATTAAAAGATTTTATGGGCCTGAAAAATAATACATATATCGTTGCGACTAGTGAAATATGAAAAAGACAGTTTCCTTCAAAATAATAGAGTTAACATTAAATGTTAGGTCTAAGAAATTTAGATGTCCAGAAAAGAATTTAGACTGAACACCAACCTCTGGTTTAGAACCTGGATTAATTCAAGCAGCGTAATAAGTCTCATAAGGGAAACAAATATCGTTAAATTTATTGTAGACATTTTATTTTATATATACGTATTATTATCGTTATCAAGCGATTTTAAGTTATGATGTTTTATTGTGGACGTAGATGGTGTAATTGTCTGTTGTAATTTTTGCAAAAGTTCGGGGTTCTCCAATGTTAAGAAGATTGAGACATACTGAAAATAAATAAAAAAAATTTAATAATTTAAACATGTAACTAAGTAATTAAGGAATATGCTCAAATTGTAATATACTAAAAACTGAATAGCGTGCATACTTAGTTCATATAGATACATTTTGTACTTTGATTTGTGTAATGTCTGCCAGTATGAATGGAAACTGTTTCTAAAAACCTGAAATTTGCCTGAATTTGAACTCCGTCCAAGAAGCTTTTAACACCCATTTTAGTTATTTTCACAAATAGAAAATTCATGTCAGTACACACAAAACCCAGGAAATCTTTTTTACAAGAAAGAGAAAAAATATTTATTTCCCATCAAATAGCATTGCCCTCAATCAAACAGACAACTATGTAAAATACTTAGGCATAATATTAGAAAGAAACAGTAAGAAAGCTCTAGTCGAGACTGCTCGACTACGAGATCCCCTGAACCCTCCGAGCAACTGATATTTCAATAATTCATCGCACATGCACACGCACACACAAACACACACAACCATACGACTGGCTGCACGCATTGGCTGCAGTGTGGGCTTACTATGGAAATTTGATTGTTTAATAACTTTTTGTGTTGATGGACTATCTTCATGAAACTTCAGATTATGATTATAATATGGATATGCATGCATTTGCCAAACCACAAGTCTGCAGTCTTTAAAATACGTCTTTTACAATCTTAGGGGTGAGAGGGTGGATATAGAGGTGTGTCTGAATTTAAATAAAAATCTAATTTGTGTAAAATAAATCTAAATATATATTTAAAATTTGGAGACTCTAGCTTTAAAGATGTAGAAGATATAATTAAATACCTTTTTTTCGATAATGTTTTCAATCGATAAAAAATAACGGGAAGAGTTATCGATTTTTTGAGATAAAGTCAATATCCGCGCTGGACATTAAAAAAAATTGAAGACTCTAGCTCTTGTATCTTCTGAAATCGCGTTCATACATACGGACAGGCAGGGATAGGGCTAAATCGACTGAGCTCGTTCAGAGTATAAAATAAAAAAAATAAAAAATAAAAACAAGAAAGCTCTAGTCTAGACTGCTCAACTACGAGATCCCCTAAACCCTTCGAGCAACTGATATTTTAATAATTATTCGCTCCTTTTCTGCTTACGCAAGAAACAGCACATGTACACACACAGCATACGCACGCATAATCACGCATTGGCTGCATTGTAGGCTTACTACGGAAACTTTATTGCTTAATAAGTTTTCTTGTCTTAAGATCGTGATTATAACATTAATATGAGTGCAGTGGAAAAAGCTAAAATATAGTAATTGAAGTACGCCATTAGTGGGTGAATTATAAAAAAAAAATTTTATTACTGATTTTCGATAGTTTTAATCGATAACAGAATAACGGGGAGATGATCAATTTTTGGAGAAAAACTAGATATGCGCGTAATATACACGGACTTATCTCTTATATCTTCTGAGATAAGGACAGGGCTAAATCGAATCAGCTCATCGCCCTGATCAACAATATATATAGTTTGTAAGGTGCACCAAGCCGCCTGTTACATATTTTTAAGGAAACCCATATACCCTGATTTCCCAATTTCGATGGGTTCAGGGTATAAAGTAAGGGTATAAAGTAAGATTTGCTGACCACGTCCAACATTTCATTAAAAAATCAAATACACTAATCCGTACCTTATATCCATTTATAAATAGGAATTGTAGCCTATGTTTAGAAAATAAAATGTACCTATTCAGATCAATAGATCGCCGGCAAAAAAAGTTTAGGTACACTCCTTAAATCAACATTCATTGTTAAAAATACCCTTTAACTTATATGAAAATTAATGAATTAAGTGCTTCATGTGTAACCTTTTTATGCACCAAAAAAGGGTTAAACTACCTAAATGCAGTCCAAAAAAGTTTAGGTACACTTCGTCTGACAGTTAGGTAAATTTTAACATTTCACACGGTAAATTTTATTTTTTTTTCTTCGAGTAACATACTTGAGTTATTATGAATTGCAATTTCATTTTTGTAATTTTTGCGAGAGTAGTTGGTCAATATGGGTCGAGGAAAGCAAATCCCACTAGAAACGCGTCAAATAATAATAAATTTCTACTTAGAAGGGAAAGGAGTACGCGAAATTGGCCGAACGATTGGGCAATCCCCTTGCAGTGTGCAAAATATAATAATATCCTACGGAAAAACGGCAACACTTGAAGTTCAACCAAGATCAGACCGTCCTGAAAAATGAAGTGTCAGAGATAAACGCCAAATCCTGGCCACAATAAACACGGATTCAAAAACATCTGCGCCAAAAATACAGGAGGATATATTTCTAGCCTCAGGAGTTAGCGTGCATCCCCAAACTGTGCAAAATGTGCTCCACAAGGAGGGGTACAATGCCCGAACTTCTTCGCAAGAAACCTTTGATTTCCGATGCCAATAAAAACGCCTAGAATTTGATCAGAAGCACCTAAACAAGCCAGACTCATTTTGGGATTCAATACTTTGGAGTGACGAATCCAAATTTAACATTTTTGGATTAGATGGGGCTCAAAAAGTATGGAGAAAACGCAATACAGCTCTACAGCTAAAAAATTTAACTGCAACTGTGAAGCATGGAGGCGAAAACGAGATGGTCTGGGGGTGTATGCCCACATCTGAAGTTGGGAAACTGTTATTTATAGATACCAAAATGGATAAACATTACTATTTGGGAGTATTAAAAGATAATCTCAAGGAGAGCGCGACTCAGCTCCAGTTAGGTGACGGCCATTAATATTTTCAACAAGATAATGACCCGAAACACACCTCTTATCTTGTGAGGGAGGGGCTTTTATATAACTCAAAGCAGTTACATACCCCGCCACAATCTCCTGACCTCAATCCAATTTAGCGCATTTGTAATTTACTAGATAAAAGGATTCGGAAATATAAAATATCCTTAAAAGATTCCCTAAAGTCAGTTTTGAGCTACGAGTGGCTTAAATTCACCGAAAATCACACCAAACCGTCGACTGCTTGTAGTAATTGCTGCCAAAGGCGGTCCTACTAAATATTAATACATATTTTAGATAGTTTTTTTTAGGGGAACCTAAACTTTTTTGACATGTTTCTCTTGTTTTTTTTTTTTTTTTACATATTATTTTGTCTAATTCAACTGAAAATAAGTTAGTGATAAGGTTTTTATATGGCCAAATATATAATTTAAAAGATCGCATCAACACTTTTGTTTATTTCGTTTCATTTAACTACTTTTAAATACAGTTAAGTTGAAAAATCGTTGGGTACCTAAACTTTTTTTTGCCGACTGTATGTATGTGAGCACTTCACAAGATCGACCAAATGTAAATGCTGGGCTTTAAAATACATACAAATGCTCATAGTACATGTAGCAAGGAAATGTATGTGTGTGCATGCTCATCGCGAAAATATTTTAATTATGCGCACCAACGCTTTCATACCCTTCCCACAAATAATAACGAAAGCGCAAATATTTTGTACGAGCTTGGCAAACGGTTTCGATATACTCTTCACACAGAAGGGAAGAAACGGGAGTCTAACGCGAAGAAATTTCAATTTTCGTGAGCTGCTGCTTGTGCTCACATGCATACATACATATATATAGTATAGAGCATCGAGAGAGAGAGAGAGAGAGAGAGAGAGAGAGAGAGAGAGAGAGAGAGAGAGAGAGAGCAAGGGAAACATTGAGCATAGAGGCATCTTTTGTTCAACATTTGACTATCTCGGTCGAGCGCATGAAGCGAAATGTTTGTGCTTTCGTATATTTTCCCAAGCCTAAAAGTGAAGAGCCGAGCAAATACGAAGTGGTCTGGGAGATTACGCTCGAAAAAAATTGTGTAAAACGCTTTATACTACGTATCCGGTCTATGTGTTCTCTGGTTAGTGGTATGGTAGACACGAGTCTCTAGCTCCAATATATTTGAAGATCGGTGCGTTCATACGTACAGATGGACGGAGGGACAGGGCTAAATCGACTCAGCTCGCAGCCCTGATCAAGAATATGTATACTCTATGGGGACTGCGATGCTTCCTTCTGCCTGTTAAATACTTTTCACAAAACCATTATACCCTGACTTCCTATTTTCAGATACATACCGTATCTGGAGTACCCAATCGAAATGGCTATCGCCTGATAACATATGTATCTTAAATGGATTGTACGCGAAAACCACTTTAGGTACCCTGTAATCAAAGCTTACTGTGTTTTTTTTTTTTTTAAATAATCCATTCTCAATAAATATGGTATTATTATACGTACAATAGAGGACAAAAGTATTTTGACAACACATTGCAAAAACTTAAACCGCTTATTTCTGCGTGCTGAGATAGGGTAACGGTACCCATTATACTTTTCAGAGAGAGCAAATATAAAAACTATAAGTGACCAAAATATTGCATTGATAACATGACTCATTCTTTTTCTATAATTATGTGCATGGCAGATTGTCATTCTTTGGCTGGACAAAAGTATTTAGACATTAATATTTATTAAATAAAGTGAGACAAACACTTAACAATGGTGTTAGTAAAAAAAATAATAAGACTTCAACCGTCCTTTAACATCTGCAAGCGTCTAGTGATCAATCTAACCAAATTTTGTAATATTTCTATAGAAACATCCTGCTAAAGCCCTCAAACCTTAGCAATCCGTTTGCTTGGGCTGATAAGTCTAAACTACGGTTTACTTTTGCATAAGCCCACACATTCTCTATAATATTAAGATCAGGGCTCTGTGGCGGCCAATCTAATGTATTGAGTTCAATATTCCCCGAAAATTCAGTTATAATATGGCATGGAGCATTGTCCTGCTGCAGTATACATGATTTTTCAATGATCCGGAAACCGGAATTCGATGAGTGGTCATTCAGGACACGTAAATAATTGTCCTTCTTCATTGTTCCATTAATTAATATCAAGTTGGAGAAGCTATTGACACGTGCGAACCCCCAGAGCATTACCGATTCTTCACCATGTGACACCCGTTCGTACATAGGCCTCTTTTTTTGCGAATATTCTTTGGTAACCTGCTACAAATCGCTTTTTTTTTAATATAGGATACTCAAAGGAACTATCGTCCATCCATAATACTTTTCCCCATAATAATTGCGTCTTGCCTATGAAGGTTTTTAGCAAATCGTTATCTTTTTAGTTTATTTTATAGTGATATTAAGGTATTTTGAGTTTAATCGACATGACTTTTAGGGCAATCTGCACATTTTCTTTAAGATTTGTCAATACGGTGAGGCTTTATACCGGTTTTTTTTTATTGATCTTCCCGATCTGCCCTTTTTGTTTGAGTGAATCAGTTTTCTATTTTTTGTTAATTTGGTAGTATATTGCTCAAGCAAAGCAAAAACTGTGGAAGCTGTCTGTGCTGTGCTGTGCTGTTCGGCAGTCGACAGTTTTTCACTAGCTGCGACTGCGACTGTCGCCAGTGAACGCAGTTCGAAGCGCTGCGCTGCTGATCAATAATTGTTTTTTTGCTTTTGCTGCGACTGCGACTGTCGTTGCTCGCAGCAACAGTTCTAGCATTCTCAAAACTGCCGAAGCTGTCGATTCCCGAAGCGCTGCGCTGCTGATCAAAAAATGTTTTTGCTTTTGCTGCGACTGCGACTGTCGAAAATGCTCGCAGCAACAGTTCAAGCAATAACGGAACTGCGAAAACTGTTGGCTGCAGAAGCACAGCACAGACAAAATTTTACGACTGTTGCTGCTGTGACTGTCAGCTTTTCAAACACTGGTTGTGTCCCACATTAAGAGTTTGGTCTACTGTCAATTACTGATAGTCCTCAGCATCTAAACATATCATAGGCCTGTTTCGGTCTAAAAATATGGCTCAGAATTTGTTTAGTCTCTTGTACTACAATACATTATCGTTGTAATGCTTGGACAAATGATAAAAAATATGTTATTCACTTTAAGATGTTGGAGCTTATTATTTTTGTAATTTATCTTGAACGTATATTTACTTACTTGGGAAAACACGGGATATGAACTCTTTTGTATCAAACTATCACCGACCAAGTTGGTTGTTAATAGTTTTGCCAGGTTATGCCAGTCACGTCCTAATATACATTTGCGAGCTAAATTTAACTTTTTGTACGCATCGGAATGATTGTGAAGCTCATAATTAACTGGCGGCGCACAAGATGAATTTTTGTTTAACCAAAATTTATCATTTGAATCGCTAACAATTTTAATTGTACGAGAAAGAACATGTTTTGGTATTGGTTTTGGCGGAAATCTTAAGGAACTGAATTTCCTTTCATATTTTTCTTCATAGTTTTGGTGTTGTTTTGCCTTCATTTCTAATAAAAACAATAATAAAATCAACTTTAGGCTTTACTAAGAACAGAAGTTATAATGAAATACGGCTACTGATTTATTTTGTCATATCGATATACAAGCGATGTTGAAATTATATTTAATAATCGATATTTAATTTATCTTGCCATTAATTTGGGGTATTGCTGATGTTCTTTTTATATTAAATATTTATTTTAAATAAAATAAAACAAATTTTTTAGTTATTGTTTAATGATTTTATTGAACGTCTGGATATTGAATCGGTATTGTATTGTAATAATGTTTAATCAGATCAGATTTATTAGCTTGCTGTTATTTATTTTTAATTTAAATAGACAATAACCACTGACCAGACCACTGGTCAGTGCAATAACTTAAAATGGATTAATATCTTTCCTAGATTTTATACGTGCTAATCGCTATAATTTTTTTTAGATCGATATGCCTCTGTAATCAATATCAAGTATCTATAAAAATACTAACATATCGATATAAATATATCTGGCATCCCTATTATTAAAAGTAGACAGCATATCAATAAACTCTGCATTTGTTTACCTACAAATTGGAAACAGCATAGTTTTTAAAAAGAATTGTAATTGTAGAATTGTTTATCTACTTTTATATCTATAGGATCTATGGTATAGTAAATTTATAGCAATTTATTTACTTTCCCTTTTACAGCAAATCGTGTACTTACGAATAGATGAAATTACAAACTTTTACATTATTTTAGGTTTAAAATGGATATTAAACCGGATTTAAATTTATTGCAATCCGATTTGACGGTTGGCAATTCAATGTCCATAGACAAATATATTAAAAGCGAAATTACTTTTGAGGAGGAACAAATAACGGAGACTTCTTTCATGGATCTTCCAATGGAACATATTTGTCAAGTAGAATTCGAGACAGTTTTGGACACCAGCGGGGAATGTTGTAGAAGTCTCAATAATAACGTTGGTGAAATGTGTGCACTTCAAAAAGATCCTGAATCATATCCATATATTGATTTGGAATTTTCGGATGCCTTAAATGATCATAACTATACATCTCAAGAAGTGCTCCTAGCACAACCTAGTTTGGATAGTGTTAAAGACGTACTCCTGAGTTACATGATAACCAATAGATCAACTGTTGAAACAGTCCCAGAAAATGTCACAACCTTTATAGACAATACAATCGATAAAATCAAACAGTTTCAATTGAAAAACGCAGATAAAAAAGCTGTTGAAAAATCTTCTATTGATAGCTTCACTCGGAGTAACAATGCGACTCTTTCAGAAAACTGTTCGGAGCCTTTGGAAGTTGAGGGTAATGATGAATATTTTGAAAGCCTTTATGAACACATTACTGAAAATGAAAGTGTGGCAAATAACGTTTTTAAGAATACAATTGATTTCGTAAAGGATTTCTATAATGAATGCAAATCATTTTCATCCAAAGCGGAAGAGGAATTTAAAGATTATATATTTGAAAAAATTAAAAAACTCAAGATAGTTGCCAATATTATAAAAACAACTGATCAATCAACTCAAACGATTTCGAAAGATTTGTTAAAGAAAAGACTTCGAATTAATTATAACGCAAAAAAGTATCTGTTAGATACATCCGCTACATCGACCACAGAGAGTGAGTGTGATAGTATGCATGATTTTAAGGAAAACGAAAGTGCAAAAGATCGTAACTTTTTGGCTAAGACTTTTGAATACAGCGATGGTATTGATCTTAGAAAATATATTAATTTAGATTTTAACAAAAGTAGTTTTTGGCAATCTTGTGATTTTGATAATGACAACACAAATTCATGTTCATCCGAAAATGGTACGGATAAAGAAATAGAAAGGTATGTAGTTATAAATAAGCTTTTAATAATGTTTAACTTTTCACTAAAAATAAGTTGTATAACTTCCTTAATATTTTTCCTTTAATTAATTTTTCCGTTTCCACCGACATTAAGTTTTATGAGATAACATAACTTTTGTGTTAACATATTTTGGTAAAACAAATAAAATCAATACCCTAATTGGTAGACTCATTTAAAAGATAGAGCAGCAATATTTAGATATAATTAAGGTATCTCCTATTCAGATGGTCTCGTCATGTTTAATGCTTTTCTAAATATAATGCTCAATAACAATGTTTTCAATGAATAGGCTTACCAATTTAAATGGACTTAAAAAGCGACATGTGCAAAACAGGGGAGCCAAATCCAATGATAAAATCAATCAAAAACTTGTAGGTACTAAAAATGCAACTCCGCCTACCGAAATGGATGATGATATGGAGATGTATGATACTGAACAGAGTTTCAAAGAAGTGAGTTTGTATGTAGTTTAAAAATAGCATGTACAAGATGTTATTTTTAGAATCAAAATTTATCATTATATCCCATATACCAAGCCAGTTTTTTTTTTTTTTTTTTTTTTGTAGAGTGATGATGAGATTATAACGGAGAACCAATACCTTTTACGATTTAACGAACAGGTTAAACAACAATTATTAAATGAGTCAAACAGTGATGATTCTGGTCTTTCGGATCAAAGCGAATACAATCTCTCCAAAGAATCGTCTACGGAAGATGAATATAATACAGATGTAGTAGACAAATTTCTACAAGTTTTTGAAAGTGAACCAGATAATATGAATAGGGATGAAAAAATTAACGAAATTAAAGAAAGTAACGTGGAATCTGAGAAGAAAGAGACTGATAGCTCTGAAATTTGCGATGAACTATGGAATGATAACTTTTGTCACAAAAACAAGCCCAAAAAATCATTGGAGAAACTATTATCTGAAGCGGAAAAACGTAATCAAAATGAGGAAATCGTGCTGAGTTCAGAGAGTGATTATTCTGATGCGGAGCCAGAACCAGTTGAAGAAAAGACGAGGTTTATTAAGCCAATGCTTCGTATGGATCAGTTGGCTAATGAAACAAGAGCTGCTCAAAAATCAGAAAGTGAAAGAATACGAAGACTGGAAAAAAAACATGTGATGTTATCTAAGGCTATAAAAAATAAATTAGGAAATTCAAAAAACGGTGATTTAATACTGGATTACATGGAAAACACAAAAACCTTTATAAAGGTCGATGATGACATCGTGAAACAATTAAAGCCTCACCAAATTGATGGAGTTAAGTTCATGTATGATTCATGCTATGGAGGAATTGATCACTCTAAAAAGAACTCTGGCTCGGGATGCATATTGGCTCATTGCATGGGCTTGGGGAAAACATTGCAGGTGAAGCGTTATTTAAAAAACCTTATATTAGAAACAAATGAACATATTCTAAATACTTTTAGTTAATAGCTTTACTACACACCGTTATTTCATACAAAGAACTAAATACAACAAAAGTCCTAGTTCTCTGTCCAAAGAGCACGGTTATGAATTGGGCTGATGAGTTGCAACGCTGGTTGGGGCCACTGAAAAGTAGTACTCATATAAAAGTTTTCGTTTTTCCGGATTCATCGTAAGTTTTAATTTTAAAAATTAATAAGTGTTGCTTGTCTGTAGTATAGAATAAATGTTACCTTTTTATACCCTGAACCCATTTTCAATGGGAAATCAGGGTATAATTGTTTTTACCTTTTTTTTATACCCTGAACCCATTTTCAATGGGAAATCAGGGTATAATGGTTTTGTTGAAATGTATGTAACAGGCAGAAGGAGGCGTGGCAGACCCCACAAAGTATATATATTCTTGATCAGGGCGACGAGCTGAGTTGATTTGGCCCTGACCGTCTGTCCGTCAGTCCGTATGTTTGAACGCGTCGATTTCCGAAGATATGAAATGACCGTATATACAGCGCGGATGTCGAGTTTGCTTTTAAAATTCTATAAATCATCCCGTTATGTTTTTATCGAATAAAAACATTCAAGTTCAAGTCAGATGCCAGTATAGCTAATTGTGAATGATTTTTCATTTTTTTAAATTTGCAAATATTCAATATAATATGTAGATCATATGCTGAAAGTTTCATTAAATTCCGTTTAGTTAAAAATTAATAAAAAATAATAAATTATTTGGCCAATTAACAAACGCACGTGCAGCAGCTACAACAGATTCGTATACATTCAAACTTCATCTAGAACATTCTTAGAATCTCATCAGCTGTTAGTTTGGTTTAGTTTTGCTAGATGGCGCTGCAGCAGTGAATCTATTTGAGTTTTGCCAACGCAGCTTCCAAAAGTGAGGTGGCGTAGTGAGTAGCGGCGTGGCGTTCGATCGAGAAGTCGGGGGTTCAAACCCCGAGCGCGCAACTGATGTGAATTTTTATACTCATTCACGAAGGTGAATCATTATACTCATTCACGAAATTGAATCAGTATATTGGTTTTGTGCAATGTCCGTCTTGCTGTCCGTCCGTCTGTCCGTATGAACGCAATCTATTTCGGCGCTATTGAAGCTAGAGACTTGAAATTTGGAACATATACTCGTGTATATCTCCGATTTATAAAGTGTTAAAATTTTCCCTATCCGCACACTAGGGGCGTGGCAAATCGGAAAATGCATTTTCCGATATACCAGAAATCATGTTAGTTAAAGAGCTAGAAAGCTGAAATTTGGTATGTAGGTCCGCGTCGATCACCCTAGACCACGAGCTATGGCGGATATATCTCCGCACATTGGGGGCGTAGCAAATCGGATAAAACTGTATCTCCTAAAGTTGTAAATCTAGAATGCTGAAATTTTGCATGTCAGCTAATGTTATGATTCTATAAAGTCTAAAAACAAAATTATAAGTCTACGCCCATTAGGAGCGTGGCAAATCGGACCTGAATATATAGTGATTTATCGAATTCTGCTATATTTTGGACACTATTTATGCCAGAGATCTCAAATTTAGCTGATCACCCAAGACCAAAAAGCTTTGTCGGATATATGTTCGCCCACAGGGGGCGTGGCAAACCGCAAAAGTTTATATCTCCTAAAGTATAATAGCTAGAAGCTTCAAATTTGGATCGATTCCCCGAAGAATACCCTGTAATTTTCACTTTTTTTGAGAGTAAGCATTCAAACTTTGCAGTTAGGGTACCGTTATCTCGTCCTAAAAACTGACCAAAAATGAGGTGTCTACGCCCAGTTG